ACTGACATAAGTTTATGAAATAGTAGTTCATTAAAATTGTGAATGCGAGTCAACAAACAAGATGACATGGCCTTTCACCCGTGACCCGTCTCTAAAGGGTTAAATTGCATATTTAAAATATACAGAAATTAAATAAAGTACTAACAACATCCCTACAAAATAATAGGGTTAACTTTCATTTGTTTATGTATATATTTTTTCAGCCATTGTTATAAAATTTATTAAATAAAATAATTTTTTTAAATACTCTTATCATGAGCACTGCATGCTAGTAAGTTAATGCTTCCCCACTGGGATAATTTGCTTTGTCTCCAATCTAAGTGATTGTAATGCTATAAACCTAAATGACAGAGAGAGTTAAATTGTACTAATTTTGATTGTTTACAGTATTAGGGCAGAGAAAATAACAGATAAAAAACTTGTAATTCTTACTAAAAGCTTGACAAATTTCATTACAATACTACCACATTAAAAGTTATCGTATGTTAATAAGGAATGCTCACAATGCCAGTAGTTCAAACTCATCCTGCAACCCAGTCAGAAGTTCACTGAAGTCCCTGTAAACATCTAAGTTATCAAGACTCCTTGCACTCCTCAAGGACTCACTAGACTGAACATATTCCTCTACAGGAAACCTGGATTCATTCCTGGGTACACTACAAGAACGTCGATGAGCACTTCTTGAACAAAGTTTAGGGTTGTGTTTCTTCAACATAGCTATCAAATTTTGCATGTTAACTGTCACAGAATGGCTGGCAGAGGTTGACTGAGAACATAAATAATAATATATATAATACTGAAAATGAACACAAAATTAAGTTACATATAGCATTATAAATAGTATATGTATCTGTCTGTTTATGAAGAAAACTTGTATATGTAAATATTAGCTGCCATCAACACAAAGTCATGAATGTATGACTATTAAATAAACAATGTTAAACTTTCTTTTTTTCTTTCATACAGAAATACTGCCAATGTGCAATATTTTCAGAAGAGTTTAATTTCTTCATAGTCTTTCTTGAAATTACTTTTATAGGCACATAAATTCAATTTAAAAACTTATAATTTCTACCTTTCCTGCTACAAAAGGAATATCTTGAAATCGGAGCTGAAAATGTCTAGTAATTCCTGTACGTCCCTTGCTAGCTCTGGCTTGTGAAATATCTGAACATGATGCAGTTCTTTGCCTTCTCTGCCTCGTTCTTTGTTGAGGGAGAAGATAATCAGTCTGAAATTGTACCACTTTTTTTTTACATTTATCAAACTTGTAATGTTTTTTTTTGATGGAAATAATCTTCAAATGTATAATAATTTTCCTAAAGTTTAATTCAGTATCATAAAACACGACTTTAACCTAAAGCTTATAAAATGTTTTACTGATACAAACAAGTTACACAACATATTGTATTTCATTATATGTACTAAAACTAGAACATTTCAAAGAAGCAATTCCTAATATACAACATCAATTTGTCATAACCTATTTTACTCAAACGTGATATCCATGCTAGTGTGGTAACATATTTTAAAATATTCAGCTGACTAGTCAATATTGTGCACAACTTCAAATGGTTAATCAATGATGTCTTTTCTATTTATATGCATGTACAGATTCAGCTTGGTTGCAAAGAGACATGCTTATACTTGTAAGAAAGATATAAATGTTGTTTCAATCTATATACATCCCCATGTGATTGTAATAACTAGCAGTAGACAAACTAACATGGCACTGGCCTTTAAAGTTAACTAGCTTTCTGTACACGCCTAGCATAAATCAAATTCTTGGCTTGGCAACGTTTTATGTTTGAGAACTTTCCAGAAATCAGTCAAATTATCTACAAATTAATAAATTATAAGTAAAAGAAACCTGTCTGCAATGGTTTCAGGCCACAAATCCATAGTGTTAAAATACGAAATCTTGGTTTACGTTCAAAGTACACTCTTGTTTATTACTGGCGAGAAATTACAATGTTGTTTTATCTAGTATGAGAAGATGGTCACAATATTTTTTTTAGCCAATTGGGTAGATCCTATAAAATTTATCATGTCCTACATGATTTTTAAAAGCATTTGGCATTAGGCAAATTTCACACTCTTAAGTATAACACTATAGGTTTGAAAACATCACAAGATTATTAGAAACAATGAAGAAATTTATCTTGAAATATTTTGTAAGCATTTGGCTTAAATATCACTTTCAACAAAGAAAATTATGTTGAAGGTTTAAATACACTACTTGAAAGCTCTCAAGTTTTTCAAAAATAAAGTTTATTTCTTTTATTCTTAAAAAGCAAATATTACAAAAAATAAATAACACTATAATTGTAATCTTTATTTTTGAAATTTTTCCATCAACATTGCAAAAATAAAACTCTTGCTATTGAACAAACATGTTTTTATTTAGTAAGAAGGAAATTTTAGTCTAGACTCACCTTTACATTTCGATTATTTTTCACAAAATTTTGTTCATTTTTTAGATCTGAAAGTGAAGTTCTTACTTTTCTAGATCTACCTTGTTTCTTGACTGAAGATGGAGTTTGGAGCTGGTTTTTTTGGGGTTCTGTAGTAAAAGATTTAAGTTGTTTTTCTTTCGTTGTTGGAGTAACGGGTGTTAACAGTTGGTTTTTCAATAATTCTGCACTTGAATTTGGAACCTGCTTCTCTTTTAAATCTGAAGCTGGAATTTCAAAATGTTCCGGAGCAAATTCCATTGCTTGACTTTGGAATTGTTTCCCTGTAGGTTCTGAAGTTAAATTCAGGAACTGTTTGTTTACAGTTTGTGTAGTTTGAGTTTGAAACTGCTTCTTGTTGAGATCTGGAGTTGAAGTTTGAAAATTTGTTTCTACAGGTTCTATAGTTTTATTTTGGAACTGTTTCCTTGTAGTTTGTGTTGTTTGATTTTGGAACTGCTTCTCCCCAAGATTTGGGGTTAAAGTTTGAAAATATTCTTTTATAGATTCTGTTGATTGATTTTGAAACTCTTTCTCAATAGGTTCAGATGTTTGGTTTTTAAATTGTTTTTCCATAGTTTGAGTTTGAAGCTGCATCTCTTTAAGATCTGGAGTTGAAGTTTGAAAAAGTTTTTCTACAGATTCCATAGTTTCATTTTGGAATTGTTTCCTTGTAGTTTGTGAAATTTGATCTTGGAACTGATTCTCTCTAAGATTTGGGGTTGAAGTTTGAAAATATTTTTCTACGGGTTCTGTTGGTTGATTTTGAAATGCTTTCACAGTGTGTTCAGAAGTTAGATTTTGAAACTGAATCTCTTTAGGTTCTACAGTTTGATTCTGTAAATGTTTTACAATGGGTTCTTTACTTTTATTTTGGGACTGCTTCTGCATTTTGTTTGCAAATGAAGTTTGAAACTGTCTTTCATTTTCTGTAGTTAATGTTTCAAGTTCCTTTCTAGGTGGAGAAGTAGCAGTTTTGATAAGTAACTTTTTATCTTGATGGTATTTGTTGTTTAGAAATTTTTGTTCCTCATCAGCAGGAAATGTTTTTAACTTTGACTCAGTTATTGTCGTTACGTGCATTTCACTATTCCAGGTCCTACCACTGTCTTGCAGAAGTTCTGGGTTTATCTGATCTACAGGAATTTGCTGTTTTTCACTTTTTTTCTTGGTTTCTCTTTTATTGGGATAATCAAAAGCTTTCTGAGGAGTGATCAAACTCCAATTATCACCAATTCTTGTACTATCAGTTCTTTCCACATGTCCATCTTCTGCATAAGATGATCTCCACAGAATATTATGAGAATGATCAGTGCGAATATTCTCCACAGTGCTAACCTTGGAAGAAGAACTGCCTAAATCAGAAGGCGGCACAGTTCTCATATCTAGTTTTTTTGACAATACATCACGTGCATAAAGAAGTTGTTCTTCAAGTAAATTACATTGTGCTTCTGATAAAAGTAGCAGATTTTTCAATTCTGTAAAAAAAAAGTAATAATAATAAAAAATGAATTTCCAACTATATGAACCTAGACCAAAATCTACAGAAAATAGAAAAACAATTAGTCATAGTTAAGTAAAAAAAAATTATGCAACTTTAAACACTCAAGCCCACTATCATAAACCAAATTATTCCAGTAGGCTGTCTATAATTTTTGTTCCCATACTAAAGATAGCTGAGGAACCAAAACTGCACATATTACTCCAAATGATGTCTCACCAGTATTTTATATAAGGTAACAAAATAACCTTAATTTTAAATTCAGGATTTCTGTATATGCTTAAAACCTTTGCCACTGTTTGTACCTTAATCCTTGTCTCCCAATATCCTCTCATACAAAATTTAAGTTCTTTCCAAGTTTCCATACCAAAACGTGCATCATTTTACATTTATTAGTATTGAATCTCATTTTTAAGATAAATAGCATCAACTATGATGTACTCATCCAGAACTGCCAAATGTGAAAAAGAATTTCATTGGTAGACAAAGATTTTCCTCAAAAAACAAACTTTTTAACTAAAGAAAATTGTAAATTTTAATACATCAAATACTGTTACCTATTAAACATCAAAATTGTCATCTCCAAGTTTACACAAAACATCATTACTGTCAATATACAATCACTATTTAGATAAAATGTTTCCCAAGCTTTATTATACTATATTCCCAATTATATACAAATATAAAATGTAAGGCTAAATGGAATTCTATCTTATTTTATAGAATTTAACTAAATTCAACACAAAATTAAAATGGATAAGATATAATATAAAACTTTAACAGTTGATGACAATCTCTTTCTTGTTACTGGTACTGATATGTTAAAATCTTATGGGTCCAATTTTAAAAAAAGGTTCCAAAATCTGATATGGTTTGATAAGCTAAAGATCTCTATAAAATCAAGACTTGTTTATTAGTTTTGTTGTGAACTGTATAGTATGCATTTTCAAACGTCAAGTTAAAGCTTTTTTCATTGAATCTGAAATAATATGCATGTCTCCTGCTCCCAATAATTAGCTACAAGTAAATAGACCAGAAGGTGTGTACGCCCCAAAAATTTTGATGATTCTGCAGCCCTGTTCTCATTCAAAACATTAAACCTTAACAAGTAATTCCAATAAGTTGATAAGACATCAAAAACCATATTGAGAAGAGAATAGTTAATTAAATGTGCTTCTAAGTGATTGTGGGTATATTCTAATATCTCTCTAACTACAAGTCACACTACTATTAATAGGCCTAGTAAAAAAAATCATTAGATTCTATACTGTTACTATATAAACTTAATATTTTGAACTATAGATTCTACTCCAAGAATCTACTTTTTTTTTTATACACTGAAGAGCATCTGAACTAAAATAATGATGAACAACAAATAATACAAGAAAGAGAACTAATAATAAATATTAATTACCATATTCATCATCTTCTGTTGCTTCTGTTTGATCGCACAAGTTTTCCAACTGCTTCTTTGTTTCCAAGTATTTATTTTCAAGTTCTTTCATTTTCTTATGTACTTTTAAAACAGCAGCCACCACTCCTAGCATAAAGTAAATAGTGAACCATTGCATGTGTTAAATGTTAGAAGAAGAATGTTCCAAAATAATGATTTGACTACTTCAACTATATGTATTTATGTCTAGCCGAGTTCCTAATATGAATTCTTTTTTTTTTTATAAGTTTATTTTTTCAGATCTTTAATATATTTTCCTGGAATTAAATAAAAATAAATAATTCATGTGCTTCAAAATATGTGAATATAAAACATCAACTTGATCAAGATTATTGTGCATTATCACAATATTATGCACTTAATAAACATGTTTCTTAAATGTATTTTTCTAGATTACAGAAATAATGTTTCAACTGATTTTTACACGTAAAATACCACAGTAAGTAGTGTAGGTTACTTTTTAATACTTCATGCAGTATTAATTTGAATACTTTTCCAAAATTAACGATTTTAAATTGCAAAAAAAAAAATGTGAAATTGCAATTAAAACAAGAGTTTTTAATTAGAAAAAAGAAGGGAATTATGAATAGGAATTAGCAAGTATTAAATCTGTATGATAATATAATTTTTTTATATTTCCAAATCAATTTCATGTTTTCCAGAAACATTTCACAAAAAGAAATTTCACATTTTATAGCCTATTTACATGATTCATTAATTAAATCAATTAGAAAACATGTGAACTGAAATATATACAAATCTTATTTTGCAATTATGATTACTAAATTCAAAAAACCATAAGTCAAACACATGTAAATAAGATTTTTTCTTTATGTGGCATATTAAGATAATTATACTTAAAACCAATGGAGAAATTCTCAAAAAAGTAGAGGTACTCAGCTGGGTGATGTGGGCCTGTTTTTGAAAAAAAAAAAATATGTATGTGTAAACATAAAAAATGACGAAGCAGCTCAAATAAGCCCTGATACTAGTACCACCTTAAAAAATAAGTTCCAGTACTTAGTACCAGTGAGTATCCGTAGAATTTCACCCCCACTATAAACAATGTTTTCACTTACAGAAAACAAAAGAAAGAATCTAAAAAATATAATAATTAATTATGCCCATACTTTGAAACTTGGTTAAGTTAAAAACAGGCAACCATACACAACCATAATAAAATTAACATGAACAAAATGTCAGACTAGGACAGTGTTTTCATACTAGCTGTTAACTCCTAGTTTATTAATTGTTTAACTATTGCTGGAACCAACTGAGGCGGTCTCTGCTGTGAATACATCTTCTTAAACAGTTTAAACATCTTCATCATTTGCAGCATGCCCAATTTATTTTGGAAATTTTTTGAAGTTTGCAAATGCTGAAAATGTGAAATAATTCATTCAAAATTAAAGTTCAAACTTCCAAGTTACACCTATGAATATAAACAGTTTAGCAAAACGAAAGTCAAGATAGTTTCGACAGTATAGCTATCAATTATTAGAAATACACAAATAAGGCCTACCTCCACCCATAGTTTTTTGAAGTCCCGGAACTAGATTATACATCAACTTCGAAGTTCAATTATAATCAAGATAACATATATAAAATGGTATACTGTTTCCTGACGACGTAGAATAACGTCAACATAAAATTAATATCTCATTACTGTTCACAAAATTCTAAAAAATGTTACTTAGACTCCATATTATGATTTATATTTACTTGTAAATGAAACTCTGAAACAGTGAAAGATCGTCAGTTTGTTACATTGCTACTATCATGGTCAGTAAAAACTTTTTAAATTTCATTCCTGAGCTATACCTTTTAAATTTAACTTAGAGCTTAAAGTTAACTTAAAAACCGATTCAATAAATCCTAACTAATTTTCACAAAGTATAACAGCAAACTACTTAGAATGGAACTGCGATGTTCTTTACTTAAGTTTTAAACACTCTCAGTAACACTACTCTTTCATTCAAACTGAGCGCAATGACCGAAAAACCTAAAAGAAAAGTTGTTCAGAGTCGATACTCTCCGCCTCAGTGTTTTCTGTCAAATTGATACAAATAGTGGTTACATATAAGAAAACTATTTCATGAAAAAATATAGAAATTAGAAAAGAAATAAACCAATCTTAGAAAAAGTTCTTTGCTTAATGATATTCAATATTATAATAATATTAAGGCATGCTTTAAAATATATTTTCGCTTCAGATGATTTCATTTTGTTTCTGAGTCGTGTATTTCAGTGTAATTTCGACTCTCGTTTATAAGAGCGACTACAAAATTCCTTTATGCTTTCAGTTGCTTATAACTTTCAAACCACAAAACATATGTTAGCGGAACTAAGTGTGCATACGCATGGAATCACTTGAATAATTTTCAGTGTTAGGCTTGGCATGGTTTGATGGTTTGGGCGTTCGACTCGCAATCTGCGGGTCGCGATTTGGAATTCTCGTTACCGAACATGCTCGCCCTTTCAACCATGGAAGCGTTATAAAGTCACGGTCAATCCCACTATTCGTTGGTAAAAGAGTAGCCCAAAA